AGCCGCCACTCTGCGTATTCCCTGTTGGACACGTCGAATCCAAATTCACGGAGGTACGGAGCGACTTTCCTCACCAAATCAAAAGTCTGCCAGGTAACTCGCGTATTGTGTGTTTGAGGAAGTAGGACAACTATTCAAATCGCTTTAGTTCTCTTTTGCCTCTAAACGTTTTGGTTTCACTTTGCCTCGAAGAATTGAGTTGTTTTTTTCCTTGATTTTGAACGTTTGGATTCGTATACTATTTTCGCTTTCTGTTCATGTTGTCTGTGACATGAAATGGAGGTTTGGTGATCATGGCAAAGTTTGGTCTAGTTGGAACCTTTGACCCCTAATTAGTTGCTCCATCTTGTGGGTTGGTAGGTGTTGTGAACTGGTTGACAATGATCTTAGCTGTAGGTTTCATATAAACGTAGCCCTTATATAATGGTGCTGATGATATTAATATTTACATAATGATATTATGTTTGGATCTTCTTTAGTAGTAGTAGGAGAGAGCTCAGAATATGTTAACTGGCATGGATGTCCTGTTGTCCTGTAGATTAGTAGGTGGAGGGTAAGCTAACCCCGAGTTGAACTCCGGTCTTGGAAACATGTTTCTTGACTGCTTCATTTGGTCGACAAATATTTTGCAGAATACTCTTCAATTTGGTTTATAAGAAGGGACATCAGATTTTGTTTATTGTAGTTTCATTTCAGCTCTATTCGAGAAAGTGTTCCTGCCTGACTTGAGTTTAGTTCTTATGATCGGTTCCTTGTAAAATAATTGCATCTCTACTAATATTAAGATGGATAGTGATTCATTTCAGATTGGTAGCTCCTACAATTGATTCATATGATATGTTTGTATCATTTTACAACTGGTGTTCTTGCATGTCCAGTCTTGAATATTCGAATCTGCAGGTTTTGTGAATAGACAGTTGGTCTGTAGAACCTCTTAGTCCTTTTATTGGCTTCACCTCACAAGGCTGGCTTACTTATCCATTTGTTGTCTAAGCCACAGTTACTAGTTTACTTTGAGTTGTTCATCCATTATGCAATTGTAATAGCTTCTTTTTGTGTCATGAATACACTGGCTGCTTGTTTTGCAGGAAAAGAAAATAATTGTGCTGAAATAGTTGAGAGAGAGAGAGTTGCAAGATGAACCTGTTCAAGACTAATAGGGTGCATAATATCGCGAGCTTCTTAATCTACTTTACCTTTGGTATAAGGGAGCCCCTTCACCTGAAATCATTGTAGTTTCTAATGTACCTCATATGCACATAAATTGTTCCATTTTTTACGGTTACGATCCTGATGAGTGAGATATTGATTGAAATGCAGATTATGGAATTGTTGTATTGGTTCCCTTTCTGATGATTACTTAGTATTCAAGTAGTTTTAGTATTAGTAGGGAATCATTGTTCCAAGCAAAGGCCTCTTTCCATTATACTTGATCTGCCTGCCACCGTAAGTAAGAAAACAGTTAACCGTTTTCTATGGATTCTCAGTCCTCAAGTAAGGGCAGTTGAATGTATGAAGTAAGAAACGAACTCTAGAGGATCATATTGAACAAATTGCTGATGAGAACAAGTACATTAAGAACGACAAAGTTGAAAATGGTTAGTCTGGGATGGTGGTTGTAATCTGATTGCTTCTGCAACTTTCCTTGGGAGGCGGAACAGAGAAGCAAACACAGTTTATGAACACTCTTGTTCTTTTCACTGAGAGACTCTACTTTTAACTCTATCTACACCTGCACCATCAACAATACTACACTAGCACGGTAGTAAGCCTTATACAGAAGCATCTCCCATCCCATGTATTACTTGTTTGTTTTTTTATAATGGTTATGTAAATTTATTAATTAAATGAGAAATTACAAAGTACAATGAACCTGCAAACTTCAGTAAGAAGTAAAAGAAGACAAACTAAAATAATCCTAACTCTACTTGATAACTGCTCTGCACACCTCCAAGAGAACAAAAGAGGTGTGACTCTCCTACCAAATATGCAGCCTTCATTACAAAACTTAACAGAGTATCAAAGGAGCCAAATATCATACATCATATTACTTTCTAGTATTCTCATGCCCATTCTGTCTTTTAAAAGGAATCATGCACCATCTCTGCTTTGTTGGCTAGCGGTGAATTCTAGTTCTGCTTACCTGCATTCACATAACTCAGTTTGATGCTGCCCCTTTAACTGGCCAATAGACTCTTGCCTCGATCAATAGGTACTCTATAATACCTTTTAGAAACCTCTATCCTTTTGACCACATGCAATTTCAAACTGCTACAGCTGCTTCGCTGCTGAAAACAATCTACTGCTGGCACACTTGCTGCAAACTTGCTAATAGCTCTGTGATAAAAACATGAACATCCAGTTTCATGTTACTATCTCTTTCCTTCTTCCTCACCTCCAAATGGTTTGTGTGTGCTGCAGCCTGCAAATTACATAAAGATGGACATTATTGTGTTTCCAAGGAAGTTATCAGGTTTATTATGGTGATGCATTTTATTAGTTTTAAACAGAAATTACATAGTGGATACAAGTCTGCAGTTATTGCAGCAAGTAAGAAAAGAATACCACAAAAGACCCATATGTTCTTTTCTTATCTGGGGATCTATGAACACTAAACAAAGGGAGAACTCACAAAGTGACCAAACTCTAATCCTACCATGATTTGCAGTCACCACACCTTTCAAAAGATAGCATTGCATAAGCCAAAATATGTCATCCAAAAGCATCAATTTCTCTTCCAAAGTTGTTGTCTTAAGAAAAGCCACCAATAACAATAAGGACTTTAATAAACTAGGTCATGACAAGCTTCACTCTATGGCTCCATCCATCAAAGAGTTATGTTTGTGTTCTTATCTTTCCAAAGCTTCCAAGTTCCAACTTCTTCTCACTAGCACAAGTTCAACTTTGAAGCTATAGTCATTTATTCAGGATACTATGCTTGACTATACATAAGTAGATTAGAGCTTCAAGGTTTTTTTAGATTTTCTGGGGATCTTTGTGCTTCCCGGGTACTTGGATTAAATTAATGAATGAGTACTCGATTGGGAAAAAGAAGGTCTGGTGTTGCTATGACCATTCATAACAGCTATCTTTTGTGGGAAATTGCAGTGGTGAAGATTATCAGTGTTGAAGTTGTTGATGGTGGGCTGATATGCTCATGTAGTGTACATGTAGAAGAAATGGGAGATAAGAACAGCGACTGCTACATTGTGGATGTTGTTGTCTATGCTGGCTACTAGTTTTCCTGCTTCCTTTTGAAGGTTTCTTCGTGGTTAGCGTCCTCTTGCTATTGACCTGGGGTTTTTTTCTTATAAAATATACCTAAACTTATATAAGCTTTCTCGAAGACTAGCTTGCACAAGACTCAATCTGCCATCCTGTTCCAAGTGGCACGGATGAAACCCAGCATCTACAAACCTTAAGAATAGATATTGTCCACAACAAAAGGAAAAAGCTTGACACTCAAATCTGCCTTTGTAACACATCAACGAGAGATCTTACCATCATATTTAACTAATCAAATCATTATCATTAAAAAAACCCAGAGAAGCAAAATAAGGACAGAGCAACCAAGTCCCTATGCTTGTTAAACACAAGACAAACACCAAAAAAAAAACTCAAAACAAGCTCCATTGCAACATCCCTGGCATAATAGCTGAGAGGCAAAAGGGAACTAGGGTTGATTCGGCACCCAAAGGAGACCAATTCATAGTTCCTATAATAACAAACAAATTGAATTACCGGGACCCTTTAGATTTGTTAGGCAATGTCTCTAGGCACCAAAGAAAGTCGCAATCCGCTTCGACATTAGAGAGTGCAGAAAGAGGGGATGTTGCAGAGGGAGGGTGAAGACACTTCCTTTTCATTGGGATCGTCGGAATCGGTAGAGTTCTTCGACGGAGGCAGAGGGTCGGTCGGAACCAGGGATTCGTGTTTTGTTTTACACGATCAATGGGGAGACGAGGAATACAGTGAAGACTTTAGCACAGGGTATGGAGTTTGGATCAACAACCGTGGAGTTCGCCGGAGCACTGCCTCAAAACCAGACGAACGAGAGATGGACGAGAAGTTTTTGGGTTTGCTTTTTCGAGTTTTTGTCTTTTTTATCGTTTTCTTTTTCCCAAGAGAATAATAAATGTACTTAAATGAAAACTAAATAGAAAATGAAAACCATCAAACGGATGAAGAAGACGCCCGTTAGTTTGACAGTAGCTGGGTTTGGTCCCATTGCTCGGTCAATATTTAGATTGGGTTAAGCGAATCCAGTCACTGCGACATTAGGTATATGTGGCCCAATAAGAATCAGTGTCACCGGTACCGCACTTTTTACAACGGCACCGTAGTATTGGCCGGGAAACACATATGACTCTGGGATACTGGTAAGTGATTTGCTAAGAAACACAAAAATTAGGGAAGTCCTAATTAAGGGTCCTTTTCTTAATTGGAATTTTCTGAACAATTTGAGTTTTGAAGATATGTAATTGTTCATAAAACTAGATTGAGAGTTTTATCGTATTTAGAGTGATTTCGGGGAATGTCAATTGGTTTGTTCATAAAATGACACGCAAAATCTTTTTGTCTGAAGTTAAACGTGCTCAGTGTTGAGTACAACAAGGATGGGCGACCTTATGGGAAGTCACCCTGAATTGCACCCCAAGTCGAAATCCGTACGGGTGTAGAGGCCCAAAGAAGACAGTATCTTGTCGGGAAAAGGTTCGGGATGCTACAGTTTGGTCACTGGAATTATATACAAAGTTCACGTTTATCACTAAAATTAATTTATTTCATCCGTGGTCACTCAAATTAGTTCAACAATTTAAGTTTGGTCAGTCTCTGTTAGTCTCCGTTAGATTTTGCTGATGGGGTAGTCAACTGTCATAGTTGACCGTTAAATAAGTGATGTGGCAATTAAAAAATAAAAAAATTAATTATTTAAAAATTCCATCTCATTATCACAATAAGTTAACAAATATATAAAACAAAAATAAAATTCTCACATAAGTTAAGCCCAATATCATCGCATTGACAGTTCCAATTTGCTATGCTTTCTGATAAAAAAAAGTTTGCTCTGCTCTCTGCTCTTTCCTCTCTTCCAAATTTGTTCGGCCCAATTCGAAATCAGCCGAATTTGGGAGTCAATGACCCAACGAAAGTCGCAGCAGCAGAATGAGTGTCAATGATGCCGCATCAGCGCCCAGGAGCCCGACCACCGAATCACATACGAGATCGGCATCACCGAGATCTGGGACGAGAACGACCACCAGTTTTGGTGCGCCGCGGTCGCTGCTACCCTACCACTACTTTGCTAGTGTGAGCAACTCCGCCACGATGCTTCTAGCTTGGCGTTGATTCTCCCCGGGTTGTAGAGACCGGGGAAGAAGGTCGACGGAGGAATGAAACCCCCCGGCTATGGATGAATCGGCAATTCCCCGACCGCATTTGTCGGAGGCCTGGGCGGTTCGAGAGGCGGAGAAAATGGGGAATTCGATGACGAGTTACGTCATTGGGATTGGGAAGCAAGATGGATATAAAAGTGGGCGATTCCGAGTTTTCGGAGCTCTTCTGGTTGAACAACTCATTTGTGCTCTCCTGATTCCATCCGTCCGCGAATACGGTCAGCCCAAGAATGAAGCTTGTACAAGAACTAAGCACCTTAAACGAGTGTAACTCGAATCCAGTTGCTTCCCCAAGTTCATGAAATCGTACATAAATCCATTCCCGTTGAATGTTACTTCCACCCATGGCTCGATCTCGATCGTCTCCTTCAAAAACTTCCTTGTTGCTGGAATCACATAGGGGAAACCAACTTCCTATGTGATCAATGCCAATCTAGCTCCTTTGGTGACCAACTTGTCGTAGAAGGGCTTGGAGAAAATCGTTTATGCTCCCATTTGTATTCATGGAGAAAGGCTTGGAGAGAACCGCCTCCCCTGTAACCGAGTAGTAGGATCTAAACCGATCGAGGACGGATTTGGATTTTGGGTTGGACTCATCGGGCAGGATCACGGTCCTCAAAATGTCGGAGAACTCGTCGGTGGAGGTGATGGAAGAAGTGGTGTGGGTGCAGTTGATCAGAGATTAAATTCTATTTTTTATTTTCAATGGGTGTAAAAATAGAAAAGTTTAAATTTTATTTTTTATTAATTTTTTAATTGTCACGTCACTTACTTAACGGAGAGTGACCAAACATAAACGATTAGACTAATTTGAGTGAGTGTGAATGAAATAAATTAATTTTAATGGCAAACGTGAACTTTGTATGTAATTCCAGTGACCAAACTTGCCATTTAGCCTTGTAACGTCATACAAAATACACTGTGATCTGGAATTGTCACTTCTACCCTTAGACGCCATGTAACTGCATGACATGATGTGTTTTAGGTAAGAAACTCATACGACATTTTTTTTATCAAACTTCTTAACAACTATGAAACAAATATAGCCAGACAGGGTCTCCCAGAACCAAAAAAAGGGGTGTAAAGAGAACTGGAAGTTACGTTGCTTCCACAAAGTAGCAACCAACTCAAAACAGAAACTTTAAGAGGGTCTGCCAACCAACCCATCCAAAACAGACTCCCAATTCAATTTCAATTTCAATTATACAAAAGCCAGCCAGCCAGCTCCTTCTTTTTTTCGGAACTTCCCTTACAACGTAACAGACATGTCATTCAATGCTGCCCTATACGTTTTCTCCTTTACAAAGAATGTGTTTGTTTCTGCAACTTTGGCAACCTCCCATTAATGGGAAAGTGGGGGTACCCTATTGTTATGCATACATATACCCTTCAAAATAGTGTCAGTATGACAGGCATAGGGCACCAGCAGCTCCTTGCTGGCTGGCTTCCTCTCATCACAAAATGAGATTCCGATCCCTGTTGGTGTATGGGTCTTCTCTCTTCCGATTGTGAAACACTACTCAAGGTTATACCTGAAAGTTAACGATGAAATATTTTGTACTAAAACCATGGTTCAATAGTTTCATACCACAAAAACGGCCTATCATTAGGAGTCCAATATCCGACATTTGTGATCTGACCGGTTGATATACTCCGTTGAATTTCGATAAATCAGAACCGTCGATTAATCTTTTTTTAAATTGATCTTCAAGTTTTAATTTAAAGAATTGAGACCTGAGATTTATTCATTAGGATATAATATGACAAATTCAGTTTAATTCATAATTTAGATGCTGATATATCATTAAGATTACCCAGAATATCGTATAATCCCAAAAATATATATATACTGCTTTTGTTTTCTGAAAGTTGATTCGTTTTACTGTACATTCAGCCCTATAATGGTTCATTAATGAAGCGTAACGGTTTCCTGACTCCACTAATTAAGACCATTAATTAATTGTTGACATTAACGTGTTAACAAGCAATCAGAGACATATATAACGTATAACTAAAACCAATCTGAGAGGTCTGCTGAAACACGACATTGCTCTTTTTGAATGTGTCCTAATAAATTGGGTCGTTACGTTCCAACATGTCAGCCAAACATGATTTTTGTGAACCGCAACTGTGGTGGCACTTTTTCTTCTTCTTTCAAGAATGACAAGAGACAATAGTTAGGAATGACTTCTACCTAACATCTCTACGGTCCAACTATAGTGAAGTCATCATCCAACAAATAAGCTAATTCTAATTTTATGGACAGTTTAGTTGACAGTTCTCGACACCTCCCTAAACACTAAACACTAAACAATTACAATAAGACTCGACTAGCTGATGACACTCACTGAGTAGGGGAGGATCCTCCAAGACAACCCACCACCATACCTTAGGCTTGGCTAAGCTGTCGAAAGACCACTTTTCCAGCATCTCCTTTCACATCTCTTGCAACAAGCAAATTTCACAGGGTAAGGATTAGTTAGACACATCCTGATGTCGGAATCCGAAGCCTAGTAGACTAGTGCCGGTTGTGACGCAGCTGCCTTGACTAACAAAAATTTGATAACATAAAATTATCAATATCTAGTATAATTATGCATAATTATTATTAATTAAAATTACTGTACGAGTATATTATAATGTGAATATGTAATATTAACATCATTTCACATATAAAAATGAAAGGAGAATGCTATATACAATGAGAAATGGTTGTGGCTTGCCATGTCTAGGGGTGTGCAAGGGGTTGGTCGGTACTGGACCGTATGATTCGATCCGGACCATACTGAGTTGCGAATATAATATTGTCTAGTCCATAATTTCATGAAATTTATGAATACCGAAGAAAAAAAGGCCCAACTGCAATTCTTCTGAATTTGATCAGATCCGGTCCGAACGAAATTGTTGCCCACCTACCCATACATACCATAGATCAGAATGAAGTGTAGTGGATGCTAGGTTGCTAGCCCCTGCCCTTAAATTTATTTTTATCGTCTTCTTTTCCACTTATAGTGTCCCAAATTAAAGTAAACTCTCTTCCAAAGTAACTTTTGGTCGTATCTGAAGTGGACACACTCTCCCCCTTTATATAATGCCCTCCCGATCTCCCCCCTTAGCCTTAACAAAACAAAAAAAAAAACAAAAAAAAAACCCACAAAAATTCCATTTCACTTCCAGAAAACACAAAAACCATGGTGGTTCCTACGGCAGCCAACGGCGGCGACCAGCAGAAGCCCTACGAAATCCCCTTCTTCGACCTCGGCGAGGGGGACAACGACGTGGTTGAAGGCGGCGGGCGATGGAGGGAGCTGTGCGACAAGGTGCGGGAGGCGTGCGAGACCCACGGCTGTTTCTGTTTCTCGACGGAGCGGATCCCGTCGAAGCTGAGGCAAGGCATGGTGGAAGGGCTCCGGCAGCTGTTCGAGCTGCCGGAGGACACCAAGAAGAGGCACGTCAACCCGAAACCCTACCGGAGCTACCTGGGAAAGAACGACGCCGTTCCTTACCTCGAGAGCTTCGGCATCGACCATGCTCCCAACGTTGAACAAGCTCGGGCTTTTACCACACTCATGTGGCCCCAAGGCAACCCTTCCTTCTGGTAATAATTTTATTTTAATTAATTACCTTAATTTGAGTCGTAATTAATTAATTCAGTAACCGAACGCACGATACAAATGACATCCCTTTCATCTTTCTCCTTCTCCTTATAACTAGCCTATGATCAAGTTGGTATGATTTTTATTATAACGATTTTTTTCAGTTTAACCGTCAATTATATAGATTGAATTTTTCGGGGTGAAATTATATTTAAGGTGATCGACGACGGTAAACTAGTGTTCAAATGGTGGGATAATATTGATGGTGAGATTTTTGGTATGTACGTACTATGAAAATATCACAATCCCATTTTTAGTCTTTGGACTTAGAACCTTAAAAACAGCCCCAAAAAATAACAGAATTGACTACACCAAGGGCTGCTTTGTGCATATAAGACAAGTCACTTTCAATGGCGTGGGAATTAAAATGGATTTTTTTATATATAGAGCAAAATAACACTTGAGAGCCACAAAAAAAAATAATGAACCACGAAGTTTGGAAGATGTTATTGTATTTTCGTAGGAAATAATTAGTTTTTTAATTTTATTTCCAGCTAAATTTAGACAATTGTTGTTGTATATATAATAATATAGGCAGGGTGCTATAAGTCACAACCAACCAGCCAATTCTGCTATTGTCTCTAGAGTCTAGACTGCCCCCTCACTATATTTATTAGGGGCTTATCCTTCCAAACAGATTCAATTTAATACGAGTGTTTCCAGGCAGCAGCAGCAGCTAGCTAGCCCTTGCTTTTATTGTACACATAAATAAATGGTATCTATTAGCTAGCTAGTTCCACTCTGCACATGTCGTTGCAGAAAATCAGCTAGAAAGTAACAAGTTCCAAAATAAATAAATAAACCCCACCCATAACAAAAATGGACCAAAATTATTAACTACTCTTATCGTCGATATATGATTTAATGAATTCAACAAATGAAATCCCTACGTTTACTTAACCGATTGACAACAAGAATTATACATAAGATGTCAGTCAGTCTATTTTTTTAGATCTATGCATACCTGTAATGTAGACACAGCCAGCCTTCCATTAAATTCTGCCCTAATTTCTGCATGCATGTTTCTTCCGTTAATTCCCTTATCTCATTTGTTAATTAATTAATTCTTTTAAAGGATAAGCATTAATATAAATCTGTTTTTTAATACGTTATATGTTTACATCAATTAAGTAAGGAAGAAAATTTTGTTTATTATATTTATATATATATATATGGAAGCTGTTTTCCGGCCGGCTATTTTCAAAGGTCAACTATTTCAGTGACCAATCTCATGTAGCCTCTTCTAGTTGACCTTGCTATACGTTACCCTCATTGCGTACAACTCGAGTTATTTGAACTAATCTAATGTATGTATGCAAACTGCAGTGAGGCAGTGAAGGAGATGAGCGGCAAGATGCAGGAGCTGAACCTCGTGATCATGAAGATGCTATTCACCAGCTACGGCCTGGACGCCGACGAGCACCACGCCGCCGACACCGCCAGCTACTTCCGGCTCATGAAGTACAAGGTCCCTCCCAGTCCCACCCCTGCGGACGGAATTGGGCTGGTGGCCCACACGGACAAGAACACCCTCACCATCCTGGGCCAGAACGACGTCCAAGGCCTGGAGATCCAGCCCAAGAACGGCAGCTGGGTACCCGCGGTCATCCCCGACGGCGCCTTCATCGCGATCGTCGGGGACACGCTCAAGGCGTGGAGCAACGGGCGGCTCCACCCGGTGCGTCACCGGGTGGTGATACGTGGGGAGGAGGAGAGGTACTCGTGGGGCTGTTTCTTGATGCCCAAGGATGACTCCACCGTCGCGGTGGCCGATCAGCTCGTCGACGGAGACCACCCGCTGATGTACCGTCCCTTCACCTATTCCGACTACCTCTCTTACTTCGTCCACAACTTGAGCGATGACGCGCTCGAGCTTTACGCCGGATTCTCTTCTCCGCCCGTCGGAGAGAGCCGCCGTACGTGCATGGATTAATTACCTACTGCCTCTTTTACTTGCTGATTACTTGGTTAATGGGGATTATTAAGTATAAAATAATTAATGTTGATGTACGTGTTTCGTAATTAAAGTTAATTGGTATTGGTATTGGTAATTAATGTGTTGGTTACTCGTTGTGGTCGTGATTATGCCTCTCTTTCGATCTCGTGGTAATTTGTTTTATATATACTCCTATAGAGAGAGAGATATAACGGAAGCTAGGGATACCATATATATATTATTATGGGATCTAAACTGTTATATGTAAAGAGTGCATGTGTAAGGAGGGGGAAAAAAAGAAACTAATGAAACAAGTATCCATGCATTGTTGAAAGTTAATAAAAGACATATATATGTTTATGTAGTTTGAGTTTTTATTGCAAGTGGTTAATTAAGTATCATACATGAATATCTTTTAATTTAACGTGTTCAAGTTTTCACGACACACAACATAAACGGTTGTCTTAAGCACATGGTATGACGGGCATGTGCGACGTTCAAACCCATGAACTGAGTTTCGTTTGAATGGGCGTGGTAGAAAGTGGTCAAGTATCATACATGGACTTCTACCAACAATTCGAGTTATTGGAACCGGTTGGTTAAAGCAGCGACTACCGTGGACAACATTGTTTTTACCTTCAAGTGTTTTGTATATTTTGATATAATCTTTGTTACGGGACAAACCAAGTACCACATCGGAAATACAAAGGAAGGAACTCTTGGGCCTTTTTTTCACCAACAAACAATGGGCCAATCCTGGTAGGCAAGTTTATTTGACAATGGGTTGTTCTTGTTCCCACCCCAAACTCAAAACTGAAGCCCGACAAGGACTTGCGGGCCCCTCTTGTCAACTGAAAATGGGCCACTCTTTTTGGGCTACCTGATCGATTTTATTTCACCTCGCTCCTCCATCTATTTCGCCATTCATAAAATTTTCAGATTAATTTGCCCATTCCGTTCGTTAATGGTGTGTTCCCTAGCAACCGGCGACGGCGGGGTAAGGCTCAATCCTTCATAACTTTTCTTCAACGCAATCTCATTTCATCGGAGATTTATCATTGAATTGCTTTCCTATCTTTCTTATATTTATTAACATATCATGAGTTTATATCTAGCTATAAGTCTGTATGGTTTCTTTAAGGCTTGCGCTAAAGCATGATATAATCTTTGCCAACAACAAGATGCTATATTGTGCTGGCAATTTGTTTAATTTTCTTGCAATAATTGGTAAGTTCTGATATGGATTGTTGTTTCTAAACAAAAGATGTATGATGTATCTACAACTATTGTTTTGTCAGGAACAGGATTGTCGCATTCTTACTACTTCCTAACTTAAAAGATGCAAAAGGAAGTTAACTATTCAAAAGAAAAAACAGTTATGCACCTAACTGTTACGAGTTAATGGTGACTAACTCGTAACTTCTCCTTTGACCCTTTGCAGTTCCAGGATGCAATTACTAGTCCTGACGGTCGCATGAAGATTATTGCTTAAATGGAAGGAATCGTGAACAACTGTCAGCAGGTCATCCCACATACTCACAAATGTCGAAACGTGGCTTCCAATCTAGTTGTTTATGTATTGAGATGGTAATGGTAATTGTTGTCTCATCTTGCTAACAGAAGCTACAAAAGTTGGAAAATAAACTTGATGAGGAGCAGAGGACTCTCAGCGATCTCAAGAAGAAGTATGTTACTGCAATGACGGAGCAAAGGCGTTGCTATTCTCTGTTGAAAGCATTTCAGGTTAGCACTCTGGAGATTGGTTACCTAGTAAGGTTGCCGGAAGAACTTGTTCTTATCATCATTCTTATTGCACTCATTGACTTGTAACATAACAATCTTCATTTCGGCTCTTTACTGAGAAGCTAGTCTCTCATTTTGCAGGGGGACGTTCAAAGAATGAGACGATTCGAGGTCAAACTACGACGTAGGAAAACCAGCACGTTACGAAAAGATTTATGCACTGCCGATTAAGATTCCTTTCTATGTGATCAAAGAACATAGTGGGTAGTACCGGTTGTCCTCAATCCTCATCACACTGGAAAGACGTTCATGCTACAGAAAATTGCGTTGCGGTTGGATTTCGTGTAAAATTGAAGTTATTGTTGTCTTGTTTTGTTTGACTCCTCTATTCCACTAGGCTATTCACGATTTCCTTGGAACATCTAAGCATATTATGTATTAGGCTGGTATTGGTATATAGCTTACATTTCAGATCAGTCCAACGGTTCAATCACAACTACTACAAATATCCATCTTCCACCGATGGGCTTTTGTCACACCCTTATCTGGGCTTTTCTTTCAGGTTTTTGTGCGCTCTTTCAGGTTTTGTTTTTCAACCAACAAAAAAGAACACCAATCCAAAAGGGAATATAGGATTGGTCGCATATGACTAGGGCTCGAAGTTTGGTACCGGTATTTGGGATATACCGAATACCGCACCGAATTTGTCTATATTTGGTATTACCGAATACACCAATTATTTTTTGGGATTGGGATTGGGATTGGGATTGAATTTCATTTGTTATTCGGTATTAGGGATTACGGGATTGGGATCGGTATATACCGAAATACCGATTAATACCGAAATATAAGCTAGTGTGTATTTTATCCTCTCAACTAGACTCTCTCATTCACTACTACAAGACCCTCAACCAACAAAAGTGTCATTTAATTATACATAGATCATTCCATCACTATTAATAGTCGTTTGTCAACCTCCAATTCGTCAAATTAAAGATTACCAATGACAAGAACTCGATATGTCTCCTCTCCTCCATTCTCCTTAATAATATCCTAATTCAAGACTCTTTGCTTAGTCTTTTTTCCCTAAATTAAACAATAAAATCTAATTTATATATTTAATTATTAATTGTAAATGTACTTAATTTCGTATTCGATCATACCAATTGGGATACCAAAGTACTGATTGGATACCAGTATATTTAGGGATTGGGATTGAGATACCAAAATTATTTAGGGATTGGAATTGGGATTAACTTTAGGGTGTAATTCGGTATTCGAGATTTCGATATTTGGTATTGGGATACCGATACCATACCAATTTCCACCACTACCTATGAGAAAGACAACACGGAAGCAATCAAGCATCGCTAAAAATAGTATAGCAATAAGAGTAAAAAATGAAAAACAAGCCCTTTTTTCTCCCATAAAACAGGACATGACATTGCATTTTACTTTACATTTACAACCACCCTTGACCATTACTCACCGCCTGACTCGCTAAAACACAACACCTAACAATGGCCAAGTGTAACCAATGAAAGGGACTGCAGTATAGTGGCACAAGTAATAAATATCGAATCCACGGGTCTCTAGAGTTACTATTACTCAGTTTTAGTTCATTATCTAGCAAACTAGATTAAGGATTGATTAACTAAACTACTCTACTAACTAAACTAAGGAAAACTACTAATTACAGTTTGGGAACTCACTTAGGTATGATTCCCCCTAGCTCCTCAATTAGGTCCAAGTTGTAATTCCTTTTGGTTGATTTACTGTTGATTAAACTGCGGAAGATCCGACAGTAGCTTGGAATCTCTTAAGCTGACCAAGCCCTCTCAGTCTAACTATCCGGCAGACGACTAGTCTTCACCGGGATAGAAAGCTGAATCAATAAGCACAGAACTCCACTATTGGAATTGGATTCCAGTACAAAGCAGTAAACTGGCTAACTCTCGTATAGCCAATCTCCTACTACCGAATGATGAGACTCTAGCAACCTAATCATATTCTATCTATCTCAGATTGCAGCAGGAATCAGGAAAAGTTGATCAGACTTCAATTGACTCAATAAACATGCATCATTCGATTATAATCAAACAATATAGCATCCAAAACTTCATACAAGAAAGATCCTAACTCATGGAGCTAAGGTTCCTCAAAACCTAAGTGAAGGGAAGTTACTCCATAGAGAAGAGAGAGACTGCAGAAATCTGATCTAGATCTTCAATCTCCATCTCCAAGCTTGATTCCCGAGCTCCAATGGCGAAGAAATCCTCCAAGATAGCTCCAAGAATGTTCCCAAGTCGCTCTCTCTCTCTCTAGGGTTCGTCCCTTGGGTGTTTGGGATCCAAAACCCAGCTCTCCCTCTCCTTTGGCTCGAATTTGGGTTAAAAACAGCCATTCCCGACTCGCACGGCCAGGGTGCACGGCCGTGCACATCACCATTCTGGCCGTGCACCTCAAAACGCGGCGTATCAATTAGTTGAACCTCAGCCAACTCGCACGGCCAGAATTGTATGTTGCACGGCCGTGCGGATTTCACTTGTGCCCGTGCGTGCCCACGCACAATCCCGCACGGCCGTGCGTGGCCACGCACAATCCCGTGCGTGCCCACGCACGATCCCGCACGGCCAAACTGGTCACTTGCACGGCCGTGCGGGTTGTGGGTGTGCCCGTGCGACTTCCTCAGAACCTCGCCATGCGTCCGATCCTCGTCCAATCGACCCCAGACTCGCTCCTAAGCCTTCATTCACGTCCTAGGACCTGAAATATCACAAACAAGCACAACCTACCGTGAAATCGGCCTAAAACACGAGAATCAACACCTCAAACGGTGTAAGAATGGGGGTAAAAACATGTGTAAATGACGGTCTATCACCACCCTTCTTCAACAACAGCAGCGACAACTTATTTCTTCTACACCAATTCAGAAAAACATCAAACACCTCTTCTTTCTGCACTCCCTTCTCCCTTTGAGCTCTTGGTCTCTCGTCTCTTTACCACCTCCCAATACAACACCGCCGCAATGCAGCATCCATTACTTATTGATTAAAGGATCAAGGTCAAGATATTCAATTTTCAGTAGGGGTACTCTGTGTACTCTCAATCCTCACCTGTTGGTCGTATTATCATCTGGTCACTAGAGGGCACCCCAGTAGGTATGGAACTACCGACGACTGGCAGCCTTCTTCGGAGCTCACGCTCCGATAACGCGGCATTGATTTCTGCATCACTTGTGTCGTACTCTCCAACGCTCCCCACGGAAATTTCCCCTCCACCACTTGGTCTTGTAGTAAGGGTAGGCTTTGGCGTGTAAGTCGTGGACCATGAAACCCCGTTTGATCCAGCCAGCGCCATTATAACATCTGCCTGAAGAAAACATGAACCAACAGCAGCAATCAGTGAAGTCGTGGTACCTTAGTTAGAACCTGGGGGCAGCAAGCTTTTGGTCAAGTGACTTAGAGGGAGTTTATTATAGAATTTCTCTACATGTTCAGTCTGTATAGTATATTGCCTTGAATGATACATCCATGTATATGTAGCAGAGGAATCAGATTGGAGCAAGCAATGATGGCTCTAAACAGACATTAAGCTTTATGCATTGCAGAAGAGTGAAGGTCCAATAGGAATACTGCCTAGACGAAGAGAAAGGAGAATAATGAGCCGATTAACCAATACTTGGGGGAACGTTACTAACTTATAAATTGGAACTCCTCTTCCAAGATCATGGAAAGATAAACGAGAGAACGCAGTGCAAGGAATGAGCTAAACAACATGTGTATAGTTTTCCCTGCAACATAAATGATATAGATGTAAGCAACAACACTTGGCACTCTCTGCAATAAAACCAAGAGCATGCACTTGCTTCTATTTCAACAAAGAAGATCTAAGAATATCCGAGAAGAACAACAACTGAAGCATGAGCATTTGACTCGTCGGGCACACAAATTTCTGTGCACAGTTGAGATCCCAGGCCTCGTATTCGAAGTGTACTATCAGCTTATAAATAAAAAGTCGCTTGATCACATTTATTTTTAAGCAAAGTGGTTAGCTTGCATTACCACGAAGGTTCATCAAACAAAACCAGCTTTTGGTTACCAAAGCTTGCAGATAGAGATGCTTATACCAACAGGGGATGATGTCTCCGCTGGAGCTGTAAATGGATAGAAGACAAACCTTGTTAGAGTGGACATCATCAAATACATGCGCTTGACCACCATAGAATATGGTCATTTGCCGACTTGCAGATTCTGGAACCTGGCGACTGAAAATAAAAGGAACTATTATAAATACCTTCAAGCAGTAAAAAGTAGTTTAAGAATACGAAACAACAAAGGTAAGTACTACGGCTTTTTAGTAAGGCCACCTTGAATGAGTTGAAGCTTCTGGTTCTAAAATGTGAGTACCAGGCCTGGGTTTGCTATCACTCGGCCGGACAGCAGCAGTAGTTCTTTCTGAATTACGAGCGCCAGAATTGATGGAGCTCAACACTCCAGGACCTTTGATGCTAGTTCTGGATCCTTCGTCTGCAGCTGCTGCCTGAGAAATACTTGATACACCAGCAGCAGTGGCTTCCCCTCCAAATCTGCTTGCAGTGAGTTGGTGAGTAAAAGGAACATAATGACTCCCACGACGAGGATATGGCACCGCAGATCTTTCCCACTTGTTAGGATCGAGTCTACTCCCAGTAGTAGAAGGTTGCAATATAAGTGAGGCTGAACTAGGCCTTGACTGCACACCAAACAAGCCCTGATCATCATCTGCGGACCTTTTAGGTCTCTCTCCTGGACCTGCCTTTCTCAACATCTGCACTTGAAAATGGTAAAAATATAAAGGATCATTCATCGCCAATGTCGACAGGATGAACAAAGATTGGTGGACCTACTGAAGCTAACCTTCATCAAATGCAGGCTTTCAGAGGAGTCAGGGGCAATGATTTGTGGAACTCCGTCCCTTGCAATAAAGGCAGAATCCAAGTTGCTTCTTTTACTTCCTGCTACAGAAAGATCACTTCTTGGCACATAATATGGAATCCCTTCTAGATGATTTGGAACCTGTCTTTCTACAAAGGAGCACCGACAAAGCTTTAAACATCAACACACTCCGAAAACATGGGAAGACCAACTAAGATTGCGTCTATCAACTCACCCCACCATAGATACAAGCGTCTCACCATGAGGAGAGAAAGGGATACGCAGTAATTAACAAAATTATTGCATACATAAAAGGCACAATAGAGTAACACCCCGAACAGTAAAACCAATGCTGACGAAAGGAAAATGCAATCACCAAGCAAGACAAGATAGCTTAACTTAACCAACACTTCAAAACAATACGAAAAGTGCTAACAAAACTAGTTGTTTGCTAAGTAACACCGAAACGTCACTAGAATAGAATAATGAAACAATGCAAGACAATGCAGGAAGAGGGAATGGTACAAAATTTAGCTAACAACTCCATCACTCAACTCAACTAAAACTAATAAATAAGAAATAAACCCACTCCATTCTCCAGAACACAAGATTGGTATCAGTTTTCTGGATTTCCGACGAACCCTGCATTCTCGTTTTCCTACCAATTAATGACGTGATAATATGAAAACGGGGTAGCCAAAAGGTTCCCACTTTAACATCAAAATAAGATCACAACCAACGAACAAATGTAAAAGTAATAACCTTTCTGCCGAAAAATGAGAAACCCAAGCAGAAAGATGGAACAACTTACCACTGGCGAGATCAGAGGCGGTGGAAAGGAGGCCTCCCCAACCACGGCCACCGGGAATAGCAATGCCAGCGCCAGCAGAGGAAGCCACAATAGATTGAGAAGCAGATGAGGAGGCAGATGCGTTTCTAGAGGAGGCCAAAAGTGCAGAGGCTTCATTGTTGTTTTTGTTGTTTTTATCATTACTATTACTAACACTACTACTGCTTGGCTTCATACCAAGAAAGTCATGAAACATTGCCGCCGCCTTCACTTCCTTCTGCTGCTGTTAGGTACTCAATGAAATGCCGTGCGGAAGATTGGCATTGCTGCTAGCTTTAGACTACTGCTGTGTCATCATCACCATGGCATCTCCATTCCGGACGTCAGTCCAGCCGTTGATTCCTGTCCGTCACCGCCATCACCACAGCCACCGTCCAAGCCGCCAACATCATCTCGTGCTTCAGAATCTGAATGATTCTCATTATTCCCTCTTCGCTCCCCCGTTTTTTCCTCCTGGTAAGAGAGAGAGAGAGAGAGAGAGAGGAGAAAGGGGGCACGATTTTCAGGAAAGCAAAAGGCCAAAGCAAAGCTATGCAGAGAGAGGGGGAACCATGCTATGGACCAAAGTAGGAAAGCAAGCAGCAAGAGTCTTTTCGGACCAAAAGAGGGAGATGGAGGAGCATTAAAAAGCAAAAGTTTCAAACTCTCTCTCCGCCATTCTCAATAGAATGAATAGATGATGTGATTTGTGTGTTGTTATGAAATTATGATTCTTCAATTTTCTAATGCCCACTTTCTCTCCCAAATCTGCATTTTTCATTTGCTTGTTTTGCTCTCCCCCCTCCCCCTCTCTCTCTCTTTTTATGTCTGTTTCTGAAAATTTTCTATTTTCGGTTTTTCACTTTTGGATTTTGGGGTGAAGGAATAATTGTGTCTGTGTTTTTATCTGTTTTTGGGAGTAGTAGGCTAGTAGCAGTGGGAGAGAAACACGAGGGAGAGGTTGTGCTGCAGACTGCAGATAGTAGCAAAATTGCAATAATGCCGACACCTTTTTGGCTTTTTCTCTCAACTATTTTTTTTGTTTATTTTGAACAGCCAAGCCAACTATTCCTTTTTCTCTCAACTATTTTTTTATTTATTTTGAACAGCCAAGCCAACTATTTGATATGACGAGGAGAAAATAAAAAACCCCAACCAAGCTTGTAAAAGCCAAAATTTGATTCATGAAATAATTGATAACCTCATAGTAGCAAGCTATGAGTATACTTTATAGTTCAAATGGAAAGAGGAGGTGATTGTATAATATTCATATTAACTAACCTGCAACTGCAGTTTACCTAGTCAACACGACGAATGCATTAGCCATAAAGCTTGCATAGCGCCTATTAAATTACACAAACATGTCCTCCTCTAAAAAAGCATGTTATAATGTTCCTAAGTTTGAAAATCATCACATGTTTGTAGAACATGTTATAATTTAATATGAAGTACACATCTTCCAACATTCATAGCTCACCATTTACTTTACTCTTCGTATTAACATAGTTGATTTCATTTTTTAACACACTACACCAAATGACCTCATTGTATTTTCTTCTATGAACACACTATATGAAACATTAAACTAAGCACAAAGAGAAAAATTCTCTTTAAAAAAAAACGAAACAATCATCTTAAGCTGTACAAATAGTCAAATACTCTATTTAAGAGACAAAATTTTGTCATTCAAACAACCCATACGTACATAGTGAGAAAGAGACTTTACACTGGATTGACAACGCAAAGGAGGTTGACACGTTATAACGAATTATATTATACCTAACAATTCAAGCTTGGATGTACTATGGACACAACCATTTAGATTCGGTTTTCTTCCCCTCTCGTGTCCTGTGGAGAGGGAGAGGGGGAGAGAGAGAGAGAGAGAGAGAGAGAGAGAGCAATATGGAAATGAAGAACCCACAAATATTCTTCAACCAATATGCACTCTCTCGAGTGCTAAACTTAATGCAGGGGGGGAGCCATTTCCCTTCCAACATTTGGTTTTGTTTTGATCACACAAATCCTCCACCCACTTGGTCACACTACAACAACAACCCTAAAATCCCCCACCCCCCTCTATCACCTCTGCAATACTTCTGCAGCAGCCAACTAGTCTGATTAATAACAATCGAGCATGACAAAAGAAAACCATCATACTTATGTGTCTGAAGAGCAATCGGTAAAACCAAATAAGCATACTTCTTTATACAATTATGCCAGTAATTCAAAAGGAATCGATTGAGAATTTGAGATGATTACCAGCAGCAGTTGGGGACCCACTTCCAGCCATCACAATCTGGAGTTGAAGCAAGAATTTTTAACACTGTTATACGGTTGGCGTTTCTGCACCCTCAAAATATTCTCTTTCGTGGACCAACATCTTGTGTCAAGCTCCCAACTTTGAGATCTCCTCCATGAAAATAAACAAATGGGCAAACAGTGAACTTGGCGCCACGGGCAGAACTTTTCTTCTAAACTCAATCAAGAGACCATTTCTTCAGTGCCCCAACTCCTTTGGCATGAGCTATAATTCATGCACATATGACGCTCAGAGCAGTGTAAAATGAATGCAGAATAGAGAATTAACCCTCTAATACTTCATTATTCCTCATTTCAGTTGGCTCTTCCTTTTATGTCCATCATCAACTGATGAGCACTCGATAGAGGATTAGGATTCAGACCTCTACCCTTAACAAGCTCTCTTGGGTTGCTGCACGTCTTCAGAATCTCAGACATAGCTTCTGCCTTCCGCAAAATAGATTTCCTCCTTGCGAATCGCGATGAATCTCCATCACCGTCGTAAGTATTGGGTAGTTTTGTGGAATGACGGACCGAAGACATCATGGTCCTTAGTTTCTGAGCCATCTTATTCATCCCTCGCTTGCTTAACTCGTCGTGCAATCGTTTGAAAGTAAGGAACTGAGGGACTAAACCCTTCCTCAACATCTTCTCAAACTCTGCAACTGCTTCTTCAAATCTGTGCAACTTACACAGTAAATGAGTCAACATTGTGCTAGTAGCCAAATCCATATCACATCCTCTCACTTCCATCTCCTTACTAATCCGAGCAGCTAAGTCTAACCTCTCGTCCTCACACAACATCTTCAACAAGAGATTGTAGGTGAGATGATCAGGGGCATATCCAGAATCAATCATCTTCGTATACAGGTTCATTGCCTCCTCAACTTTTCGGAATTTTGCAAAATGCCTGAAGAAATAGTTATATGTTGTAGAAGTAGGAATGAATCCCCTATCGATCATGGCTCTAAGGATCTTACTGGCGGCTACAATATCCCCAGCTTTGCAGTATCCCTTAACCAAAGCATTATATGTGGGGAGAGTAGGGCCTGTCTCGCACAGTAAGAAGTGCTCCATCATCCCAGAAGCCTCCTTAAACCTGCCGGCTTCAGCTAGTGCATCAATAATTGGATTGTATGCAATAGCATTGGGCTTGATTTCTTTTCTTCTCATTTCATCCACCAAATCAAGTGCAATCTCAACACGTCGCATTCTGCAATATCCTTCTACAAGAGTACCATAGGTCACAACATTCGGTTTCACTTGGTCATTCTTCTTCATCTCAAACCAAAGCCTCTCTGCTTGTTTAAGCTTTCTGGACCTAAACCATCCATTTAAAAGTATATTATATACACGAATTGTGGGAACCCAGCAAGGTTCTGTCTTCTTTTTACTCCGGAAATACTCTGCAGCTGCCTGAACATGCCCTTCCTTGCAAAGAGAATCTAACAAAATCTCAAGCAAGCGAATTCCAGCATCTGGCTTGCCAAGCAAGTCTAAATTTCTCACATACTCATAGGTCCTGATTGCAGCTTCAGGTAATCCTGCAACAAACGAGGTCTACTACCAGTTACCGCTTCATGATCATAAAACAATATACAGCACCACTTACAGACAATGGAAGTTCCTAAATCACGCATGTTATACTAAAAGCAATGGCGGAACTTGTCAGCATAAAACTGAACAGTCTACAATCACCTTACCTGCACGAGCATACCTTCTGATGAGAATGGCAAATGTATCACCGGAAACCAAATGAAGGGCTTCATCTCCACCACTTCTATCAAGAACCAGAGACCACGCAGTGTCGAAATCCCTCGCTTTCCCAAGTGTGTTAATCATCGAATTGAACAGCGCCTCAGAGCACCGAAACCCCGGTCTCTTCTCAGCCCATAAAAACACCGAGTAGAGCAATCTAGGAGACGAATCGAATTTCTCAAATACCGCCTCCAACAGACCAGGCTGCTCCGGCTCGATTCCTGTCCTGTCCAAAGCATTCTGGAGGGAAGAACCGGGACAGAGATTGGACTCTCTGAGAAGACTACAGAGCGTAGCGAACTCCTGCTGCGAGTACTTAGCTTCAGGAGGATTAGGACTTTGATGCAAGTACCGATTATGAAGGTCGGGAATCGGTAATGACTTTGGTAGAGTAGGTTGCGGCCGCTTCACATCCGAACTGCATGATCCATGGAGCTGGCGACGACCGGCGATTAACCTCACGGTGGGGAGATTGAATCGAACTCTTTCCATTCCTGTATTGTATTTTCTTCAGTTACAAGCCTAATTTCCTTCAACTTGGACGAGCTATCGTAATGGAAATGGGAATTGGGAACGGGGGAATCAAAACTACGACGTCGTTTAAGTCAATGGGAAACAGTGAAGAGTAAACCCTAGCAGATTGCTATAAAAGCAGGGGCAATGGGGGAGAAGAGAAGCAAGCAGAGCCCAAGGCCGAGCGCTTTACCTCTTGAGGTAGCGGTGGCGTGGTATTCCACGAGAAAAGGTTTCAATTGTGGCACACGTCAGTGTGATGGGCTTACAGTAAAAATAGGAGGCTTCCATGGTTGCTCGCTGCCCTATTCGTTTGCAGCTTGAGCGGCCATCTTTTGCCCCCACATTTTTAACCGAATCAATCTCCGGTCGCCGGAACCCCTTCCCCCTGGCGGCCGGCACTGCGTTTGTATTTGTACTTCGTGATGGAAACGGGGAAGTAACTGTGCAATTTGACGAATTAAGGAACCGAAATGAAAAGGTTTTCGCTTTTTGCACCTCAGATGTTCGACGGAATGCCTGAATTAGAACTCTCCTCTTGGTGATGGAATACCGTTACCAAATTACCCTTGCCTTAACTTCTGGAATGTGCGAGCTCCGGTTTAAAGCGTCGAGGACAGGAAAGAGAAATCCTACTGAAGCAAATCTCTGTAGCAGTAGGAGGAGATAGCAAGGGAGGGGTTGCAAAACCAGCAATGGCAGCCACTCATTTCGCTTGGACCTCACTCTGCCTACCGACATCCTTTCCGGGGAAATGCGACGTCCACCGGAGCTCCTCTGTCAAGCTTCTCCCGCGGAGAAGAGGAGCTTCAGTCTCGGTAACTGCCAATTCGTCGGAATCATCACCAAAGGTCTCCGAGCAGCCTGTGATCGAGCTGCAGTTCATTGGGGTAAGAAGCATTCATTAAAAACTTTAGTCGTTCTCGTCTGTTAATTCCAGTTCCTGGAATCACTGAGAGCGGGGTTCTGTGTTTTGCCGGCGGGGCAGCCGAAGCCAGAGAGTGATGGTAGGAGCTATCCGGTGGAGGAAGCAAGAGCGGTAAGTGGGGAGAAGCTTCTGAGAACCATCATGCTCGATAACAAGCTCGAGCTTTACGCGACGTATGTAAGTTTTTTTATCCATGGCGTACAAAGATTTTGGTTTCGATGTAGTGGCTAATCGTTGATTGGTTCTGAAAGTAATGGACTTTTTGATTCATGGTAACAGGGGAAGGTAATGAACTGTGGGGGTGGTGGAACCTGCGGAACCTGCATTGTTGAGGTCTAATCTCCTTTTTTTTTTTTTTTTCCATTTTCGATTGTTCTCCATTGGATCTAAAATATTAAGAATATGTTATTAATCCAAAGAATGTTTACTTGAATTTTTTGGAAAGCTGCATATTAGATCTTCCACCATACCTTTAAACAGTTTTGTGCATTAAGCTAATTGTTAGTGAATGACTCTACAGAGTTGAAATTCCTTTGTTGCTAATGCCTAATAGGTGATAGATTCTCCTGGTTTGCATCATCGATTCTATGAATTTGGTTCTTTTCGTCTATATGGTTCTTGGGCTCTCCCGGTTAACCTATTATTTTCTACAGATTATTGAGGGGAGTGATCTTTTGAATGAAAGAACTGATGCAGAATTCAGGTATCTTAAGAAGGTAAAGCCTTGATTCTTAGGCACATTTTCTTGATTGTTGATTAGATTGCTTCTCTGAGAGAGCATCTAATATGACCGAATCAGTTGAGACGCTCTAAATTTCGATGGAGAAGGTTAATGCTCCAACACTTTCCACAGAGCTCATATAAGAAGTGATTACAGGTTGGACTCGGATTGAGTATGGCTTGGATTTTGAATGGGGATACAGAAAGTTGTCTGTTTCTACATTCACAAGTCGTTACTTTAGAGTTGCTTGTTGCCTGTAAGCTTACCTCTGCTAATTCATTTCTAGAATAACATGCTCCTATATTCAGCTACTGCTTACAATTGCGCAGAAACCAGAAACATGGAGACTGGCCTGTCAAACCATTGTGGGGAACAAAGAAAACTCGGGCAAGGTAATTTCTTAGTTCCCCTCTTCCACTGGCAAAATGACGTCCATCAATCTTGAACAAGTTTCTACCATTATCAAAAAAAAAAAAAAAAAAAAAAAATCTTGAACAAGTTTCTGGTTCTTTCAGCTTTTGTTCTTTGTTCTCCCTCTGCTTCTAAATCCTAAAAAAAACATCTTTCTCTTTTTGGTACATGGCTGCCATGTTTGATTATCTACAAATTTTGTGGTGTTTCTCCATTCCTCAGGTTGTGGTTCAGAGGCTTCCTCAATGGAAGAAATGAAACTCAGAAGCTGAGAGTCCATACATGGTGCTCTTCATACTTTTCGAATATAGTAGAATCCAGTTGTTCTCTGCATATAAACTGGAGGATTTGAACCGAAATTTGAATGTGTTAATCGAACTTGAATGACAAACTATTTATGATTGTATGTCAATGGCATGATCTGTTTACATTTTGCGGATTCAGCTGATTACAAAGTGAGGACCGAAAACATGATAGAAGCCAATCTGAATCACCAAATTGAAAGATTGCCTGTCTTTATATAAGCAGATTGCAGCAATATGGGGTTGAACACTTAAAGCTAGACCCTTAATCAGCAACCCTGAACATGATAAGCAAAGTTTGCTGGTGCTTTTGGATGAGTTGCTGCTGCTTCAGTTTGAGTTTTAGGTTGGATCCAATAACTGGTATGCTTTATTCTGGAGTCTGGACTCAACAGGGAGGATGGGAAAAGCACCCGATTCCGATTACAGAATCTCCTTATCGATACTCCAAGAATCACCTTATTGATCCGACAATCGCAATGCGTACAATCACACGCGCACTTGTGAATACGTTCTTGCAAATCAACTGTGAGCGTTTTAGCAAAATTTGTTCCAAGCCCTCCATCAATCTGCTATTGACAGGAATTTGAAGACACTCTGACAGGGTTTTGGGCAGATTAAGTATATTTCTCAACGTTGTTTAATAATGGATGAAGGAGCATTAAACAAATGTTGGTCACATTCGCCAACTCCAAAGTCTATAATATAATCTCCAACTTCCAACAGATCGAGGTGGGGAAGAAAGAATAGAATAGCAATAGATAGATGAAGAGAGAGCGTCTGTGTCCTTGGTTCAAACAAAAACTTCAAATTCACATAGGCCGCAATCCCATGCCTGCCGGTGTCAGTAGTCAAAGTGCCCCTTTTCTGAACAGTAATTGACTAATTGTTGATCGCTCGGTGTCTTAACCTCAGAAAACCCACCAAAGAAATAACAAAGAGATTTCAAACTTCAATCTACCCCGGAGGTTGAGGATTGTAATTTGAATTCGACCGTCTAGTATTATCTTATATGTTGGTGTTGGTGTTGGCGTTGTGCTTGGGATAGCAATGGGTTGGGTTGGATCGGGATTTGTCAAGCTCAAACTCATGTGTTTATTCGTAAAAAATACCCGGGAAAAACCCATTGAGTTTGGAAAAATCAAACCCAACTCATCTCACTGGGTATTTGCCGGTTCATAAGTACCCGTGGGTTTTTATGGTAAAAAATTTACAATAACAAGTTCCTATTAAAATAAAATTCAAACATCAATTTCCACATACAAATTATCCATACATAAAACACTAGTCTAGAAAATTCAAACAAATCACAATTACACTAAATAAATGCACACTATTCTTTGTATTTCGTTCATTCCCTTTTTGTTTGTTAGAGAGCAGCAAACCAGCAAAGTTTAACTTCAATTATTAATTTATCCATCTCACTTCTTTTGGAAAAAAGAAAACATTACCTTGGTAAGAAATAAAATTAGGGTAGGGTTTGAGAAGAGTTAGATTGGGAAAAATTAAAGTTAGGGTAGGGTTTGGAGAGAGTAGGGCGACTGAATAAGTGTGGGCGGGTATCCATTGGTTGGGTATCACTAAATCCAAACCCAACCCGTGAACAGTGTATTGAGTTTAAACCCGAACATATATTTTACTCGTGTTTACCAAATTGAGTCGGGTAGGATACTCGTGGATTCGGATTTCATTGTCATCCCTAATTGTGTTTAATTAAAATTCCGACAATGTTACGCTTAAAGCCATCTACTTAAGTCTTAAGGTTAACTCGGACAATTTTCGGCTAACTCCTTTTATTTTCTCACCATCACGGGCATGGGGCTATTAAGATACGTAACGTACCCATCACGCACGTAAGAAACCATTGCACCCCAACATGGGAAGAAAGAAAATTATTGTCAACTAGTTTCCCCCGACAAATTTTAAAATAAATGGTATTCTTTTATATGGAATCTCTAGCGTGGACGAAAGATTTGAAATTTGTCTTCTTTGTGCCAAAGTTCTTTGCATAAACCCTAGCCCCCATTGGCAGGAAAAAAAAATCCATAAGGTTACTTTGCCTAGTTTGCTTGTTGGATTTGAAAATGAATATTTTGAGTTTTAAAAATCTTTGAATTTATAATTGATTTGTTCCATTATGGATTTGGAAGAGTACATTATTTGAATAATCGTTTTCTTCGTGGATTTGAAAATAAAGATTTTGTTATAACTTCAGTTTTGAAAAACCATTGATATATGAGAGTTTTTGGTTCATTGTGGATTTGATAAACTCCATTGTTGTTTGATGAATTTCATGATACATTTTGTTAATTAAATTTGTATGTATGAATAGTGACGGAGGGAGAGTATAAGAAGGTGCGTCCCGGGACCCACCCTGGTTCGGATGGAATATGGTTAAAATAAGTACAATAGTTAGTCGATACAAAAAATTAGGGGGAGTCTTATTGAGAATAGTTTATCGAAACGTGTTGTGTTTGAATCTTTGCGACATCATTTCTTAAGCACGTGGTATTTCGATTTGTGAAACTTCCAACAACTCGATTTATTGATATTAAACGATTCTTAACAAAGAACATCATTTGAAAACGAATGACTAATTAAATCATGAATTATTATTTTCTGTAAGATTCATTATTATACTTCTCTCAAAAACTCGAGTTGTTGATATTAAATTGTTCTTTACAAAGAACGTCATTCGAAGAGAACGGCTAACTAAATCATTAATAATTATTTGGTACACAGGGTGATAAATATGATAGTTTCGACTACTAACATATTTTAATTTACCAAAAAATTTCAATATAAAATTATATCATGAATGATTAGCAAAGTTAACAAAAGCTATTTTATCATGTGTATTTTCTTCTAAGAGGGCCCACCTTAGACGAAATCCTGACTACGCCACTGTGTATGAAGTGTAATTTATATTTCCTCAATAATACAAGAAGAAAAAGAAAATATGAGACGTAGATTGGTAAAAAAATTATAGAACTCAAAGTGCATAATTATTTCCCACCTAAAAAAGGTGGGATTTTCAAGTATCGGGGCCCACGGATTTGGACCCTTAAAGTCAATGGGTCCCACGAATTTGTTATCTATAAAGACTTGAAACAAACAATGGATTTTGGACGGATTTTTTCCCAAACTACCATCGTTTAAAAAATTTTTACAAAAGTACCACCCAATCCAACAAAATTCCAAAAGTACCACCATTCATCAAAAACCGCACCTCGAAGGCGCGGTTCTCCTTCAAACCACTCGGGGAACAGGTGGTTATCCATTGAGCAGCTACAAAACCGCTCCTCCATGTGGCGATCCATGCAACCGTGCAATTGGGAGGTGATCTGATGGCTAACCGCCTGCCAGCGGAGCGATCCGCGTCCCAGCCTAATAACCCCCTCCCACCCACCCCCCTAGGCGGTCCTCCACCTATAATTACCCACCCCTCCTCTCATTTTCTTCACGCCAAAACCAATCTTCTCTCTCTCTAAGTTTATCACTCTACCCATCCCCCTCTGCACCCAAAAACCTTGGAAATAGTGGTTTGTTGGTTGAGGCTAAGTCTGATCTGCCCTCAAAAAACTTTTCTTTGGTTTTCATTAAAAACCCGTCGAATCTCTGTACGATTCCTCAAAAAATGGCTGATTTTTTCGAAGGACAAGGTATTTACTATGATGACTATCAAGCGGTACGTACTCATTTTACCTAATTTTTGTTGTTGTAATGATTTTATTTAATCTATATACTAATTGATTTATGTTGTTGTTAAGCTATCATAGGTTGGTGAGGATGTTGATATATACAATCAAAGATATTATGTTGGTCAAGAACCGATTGATCCGACTGTGTTATACGACCAAAATAATCATCGTTCAAGGGACGTTGGAACGACCACAAGGTACATATTATTTATCATCACTTGTAAATTTTATTTTGTTCACGTAATTTATTGGTTTGTAAAATAAATTTGTTAATTGTTAATCGTATTGATTATTTTCAATAATTTAAATCAATACAATACAACACTTATTTAGACTCTTTATATAGAAATGCATGCCTAAGGAAATGGGGTCTTAAGCGATCCTTATGATCCTCCCATTTCCTGGGAAAATCGGGTTCTAAGCGATCCTCGGATCCCCCCTTTTTCTGTCAAACAGACTGTGTTTCTAAAGAGATGTATACCTCTCCTAAGAGTCTTACGAGCATACTTCTGTTGCTTTAAATTATTGAAAACAATCAATACGAAGTACAAAATAATATAGTCATTTTATGTGTATGTGTACAAAAATAATTTTACTTAAATTTTGAAAATGGTATTCATTTTAGTTAACTATTTTAGTTAGCTTAATATTAATGTTTTTTAAATTATGTATATTTCTTGGGAAAAAATCTTGATTTCATTAATTGATATTGTTTGTTATAATAGACTTATATATGTATAAATCATAAATTTATAGTGAAAGTTAAATTCTTCGCTATGATGCATACCATATAGTTCGCTATAGGGGTACGACGAATGTGCTTGAATGGAACGACGTCATCTTACCCTTTCTAAGAAGGGCAAGATTGGATCCCATTAGACACTTTAATGGAATAAAGATCGACCGCCAACTCATCACGGCATTGTTTGAGAGATGGCGAAAGGAGACATATTGCTTCAATTTTCGTGAAGGCTAGTGCACCATCACACTTGAGGACATCGCCATCCTAACCGATTTGCCCATCGATGGCGATGTTATTTGTGTGGACTCTACTCCACCAGCTAAAGTTGTTGCGAATATGAGTGGTTGGCAGCATTTCATATGGAGCGCCATAGGGTTGGTACCGCCAGAAAGGGAGATCACGATGCGGATGGTAATCCACCATTGTCCAAGTGCCAAGTATCCATCATTTGGTTTACAGCGGAGATCAGGCGTAAGCACAACTCTGAGGTCGGAGGTATTCCCCTCACGGGGG